TACTGTTTTTGCACTCGCAAGCCAAATTCATTCAGCACTTTACTAAAAACAATCCCAGGCTATTTTCCTGTGAGGACATCTGAGCTGATCTTACTTTATTTTTTCCCACACTTTCAGCCTATTTTGTTTTCCTTTGTACTGGGCTCTTCTGATCACCATCTTCTAAACAGAGTAAAATGAAAAAGCTATGAGAAGGCAAATTGTCAAAGACAAGCAGTTTTTATGTCACCTCTAGCACTGATTATGAAGCAATGGGGAGTATGGGTATCTGAAAGTTAGCTGTAAGGTATAAAAATTTTAAATGCACATGTTTTGCATAATAAGAAGAGTGTTACTATTTCAGTTGATATACTGTGTCCACAAATATTGGACTATGTTTCCAACTGGCAATGAATAGACCTTTCTAGTCAAGGTATTTCAGGATGATACAGTACTAAATTAACTGAAATGTGTGTGGTGTGAAATTTCAGCTAAGTAAGCCATTGAACAAATACTCTGGTACCTCAGAACTATTACGAATGTAATGGCTTCCGGCAGCTAAGTGGTTAAAAATATTTTTGCATCAGGCACAGTAAATTGCACTTTATGTACAGTACTTAGTAGTGCCGGGTATTACATGGATGCTTCATAAGAACAGTAATACAGCAGCAATTACTGGATGTTCTATTCTCCAGTATTCGGGTTAGCTGCTTAGAAATAGATAACAAAGGTAATATTGTCCATTTACCTAACACAATATACAGTATCCAGAGTATCATGTGCCATGTTGGAAAATGGCACCTACCTCACTAAACATCTGATGTAAAGATGTGGAGGATTTTGGGAACCAATCCTGAATCACAGTGTGCTAATGTTGCCAGTGAGAATAAGATTGGCTCCTACTGCTGGATGCTGAAAACCCTAAGGACATGCCTACTAAATGGCTCAAGAGGGGATGTCTATCTGTTTTCTAGAACTCAAGACTACAGATGGGGATATGTGACACAAGAGGGAGGGGAAACATCCAAAACAAAAAGAAAATTATAAAACAATACAGAAAAAAATGAATGGAACTTTTCCGAACTGTTTCCATTCTGCCTGTGAGCTCCCAATTCCCTTAAGATTTAACAACATCCAACAATCACAGCATGTTTACACTGTTCCCCAAATGACTATTGTGGCAGGGTTTCTAAAAAAATGTCTTTTCCTGACTGTCAGTGAAGATGTCACATTTGACTCTCTTTGTATTTTATAATACACCAGCCAGGTGCCGCTCCTGTCAAAAAAATCTTCTGGGTGATCCAAGTTGTAATAGCTTATAAAACTACGGAGTTATTCTTCTGCTTTTAATAGTCTAAGATGCTGAAAAGAGAAGAAAATGTAAGTGTTGCCCACTAACTGCGATGTAACAACTCTAGCCAATGTATGTAATTTCATTTCATACATCCAGTTCTCTAAGAAAATAATGCTTCTCCTGCTGAGTTAGGAGACATTTCCACCTCCATTTCTTTTCTGAAGCCACTAAAGGAAAATCAGAGTGATGTACTTTTTAATGACTTTGGCATAACTAAAAGAAAACTTCATTCTATAAAAGGAATCCTAGTTTCTATCCATATTTGGCAGTAAAACATGTACTGATTGTCTACATGGCTTGAATACAAACTACGTTGTAACTGAGAGGTATAAGCATTTCAGTTTTAAGATGTGTTTTTTAATCTCTCTCTCCCTCACTCTCCATTGTACAAACCAGACTATGGTGACTTTAAATTCAGAGTGTAGGCAGCTGTTTACAAAGCAGATGAAAAGCTTATTGTTTAGAAGCTGTTATTCACCCATGAATTCAAAAAGGTAGCCTCAGGGATTATAATTTGCTCTAATTGTGTTTTAAATACTGCACTCTTGTATTAATGATTCTTCACATTTTGATGAAAACACCTAGGACCACAGGAATTCCCACTGTAGATCAGACCAGTGGTCCGTTCAGCCCAGTATCCTGGCTCGTACAATGACCAGCACCAGTTGCTTCAGAGGAAAAAACCCTGCAGTAGTCAGTTATGGGATAAGGTCACCAAGAGAAGTTTCCTCCAACCCCCAATAGTTATGAGTTTGACTCACACCCTGAAGCTGGAAGGTTTCTAGCTCTTCTTTATTGTTTTAAATATCTACTAGTATAACTCTGCCTCTCCTTGTTATTCATGTAAGGCCTAATCCTCTTTTTGAATCCCGCTAACCTCATGGTCATATCACCCCCTATATGGGCTACAATGACAACACAAGGTACAAGGCAACAAAGAATCAGGCCCAAAGACTGTCATAATTCACATACCATAGGGGCAAATCCTTCCCACATCCATAGAGGCTTCACTGTAATGGAACTGGTGGGATTCTGGTACCCAAGGAGTGGGGCCAGAATGAGGGCTGTTTGGGGGATGCATGATCTCAGCATGCAGGGGATGGTATGGACAGAGCCAAACAGGGGCCCGTGTTTTGCAGCTGCAAAGGTCTTCCAGTCCTCCACACTAATGCCTGATGGGGCAGATTCCTCCCACTGTGCATCTGCCCAGTGCCCAGCACAATAGAGAGGGGAACTAGTTTTCATTTTCTGAGATTATGTTTTGTTTGGATGCTACATCTGAGTCTGCCTGAAGCTCCTAATGCAAATGTCCAGGTGCCAACACTACACCTGCTCTTGTAATATGTTGTTTTCAGCTGTTACATCAGAAGGCAAAAGGAACTCAAGCATTGCCTATACTTATTTCCTCCGTGCAGGTGAGATTGCGCAGTCAAAGACCTTCCATGTCTAGCGATGAACTGGAACGTTAATACGACCATGTCAGGAGTAAAAATAAAATGTGTATGGTCACATTAAGATAAAAGGCATTTACATATTTACACATTCAAAAGCAACAGCTGAACTAATAAATGGGATATTATTCTTCTGAGAGGACGAGTGGCACATTAGAACATTTTATTATTAAATTAATAACAAATTACTGCATTTAATTGATCTAAATTGTTCTAGTCCCAGCTGAGGTTGGCATCTTAAACCCAGCTTTATGCATGAATGTCATAATGCATTAGTTATTTTAGTTAGCTAGCTGCAACGTTTGGGGATAATCAGGTGCACAAGAATAGCAGAAAAGCTAAAGCGACGGAATGCATCTCCCTAACCTTTTCCATTGCTTTTCCAATTTAACTGTACTGCCAGCTAGAGCCAAGCCTGTCAATCACACTGAAGAGCTGTATTTCCAAACCCGGGAATATGCTCTGAAAGCTATTTATATTTTTGACTTGTTTTTATATAACTCCCTCTCAAATATATTTTGGTACCAAATGCAATACAAGCCCTGCATACACAACACTACGAGAATGATAACGTTGTGAAGAATTCATCTAAATAAGGACAAAAGGGAGGCTGTAAGTCTACAGCAAAAGCAGGTTGGCAGTCAAGGGATTGGTTTATATTCCTGACTCGCCCACTGGCTGGCTCTGTGACCCTGGATGTATTGCTTGCTCTCTTATTATTTATTTTCTGTACCATAACCAAAGATGTGGCAGGCACCTTACAGGACACAGAGGATGACCCGGACCTGGTGATTTAGCTTGCTAAACCTGCAATCGAATCTATAGGACTGAAGTCAATGAGTCTTCACACAGTCTCTGGAGCCTGTGCTAATGGAATTGGTTGCAAGATTGGGGTCTAAATTAACATACGACTTACAGATGGGGGTAACTATAAAAATAAGGGACTGAAGGGATTCAATAATCTGTGACATGGGAATAATAATATCCACCTTTACATTGTATTTTAAGACCTTTGAGGAAAAGGCATCACATAAATGCAAAGTTTTATTATTGTTTCTTAAAGTCCTACTCTAACATTAAGGCTTGATTTTATAAACATGAAAAAAGGGAAAAGTATATTTTTCTTTGTTAGTCTTGAGCTCCATCATCATGATAGACCCCTATTAAGGAATCCATAGATTAACAGATTTTAAGGCCAGGGCCATCTAGTCTGACCTTCTACATAACACATGTCAGAGATTTTCAGTAATTCTGGCATCAAGACCAGTAACTTGTGATTGATCCAGTATAAAACTCTATTAAAGAATCCATTATAGAACCTAATACCACAATAGAACTCTGCCATGGAATTTAACATGGTGTATGACTTCTACGCTGCTTGAAAAAATGTTGTATAGCTGTGTTGTAGAAACCTCTTTGGTGAGGGTGTTAGGTTTGTTTCCAATATGGCTATGACTAGCAGAGGATAGCGAACTTCTGCTGCATGAAGGACGTCACTGTTTGCAGCATGGTAGTGTGGGGGCTCAAAATCAGGTTTTGGAAGGGTTTTACAGACACTTCTCAGAGAAACATGTCAGCTTGGTGCTGTGACGATTCTAGACAGATATTTAGGACTAATTCTCCCTTCTCTGTTTGTCCCCAACCCCATGACATGACAGGGTATTCACGATGCCTGCTTGGAGCAGAGGAGGTGAAACTGCCAATTTTTGCTACAGTAATAAGGTGGATGAGGGTCTTTTATTGGACCAACTGCTCTTAATGTCACCCACCCTGTCTCTCTAATATCATGGGACCAACACAGATATAACAACACCGCATACAATTTTTGCTGCACACAGAAATGAGTTAGAAAACGATCATTTGCACATGTAAAACTGCTTAGACTGTTTGAGAAACAACTGAGAACAAAAGAAAACCTCTTGTGCTCAGCTCCCCACCGTAAGTACACCACCTGATGCAGCAACCCGCCTCTACCTAGGAGTGTGGAGTAAGCAGCATTCTATTCTACGCCTTTCTCTACACCAATGCTCTTCTGTAGATAACATGCAGGAGCAGCCATTCAAGAGAGAGACACAACTATTCCCAAGACACAGTATCAGTTTTCATGGAGCCAGTCTCCTGAACTCAGGACTCCTTCATCCACACATACTGGGAGTAACCATGCTGTCTAACTTTTATTGTCATGCCCAACACAAACTTAAGAGAAGTCATGTTACCTTGCATTGTCCCTCCCATGCGACTTCAAGAAGTTCATATTGCGATACCTGGACAGGAATGCTACTAGCTGATCATTTGTCCTGTGAAAGAAACAAGAAAAAATTTGCAAATCAGGTAGAGAAATCTGTCTTCTATAGTTATTTATGTTTATTATTTCTTATTTTGAGACCCTTTGGACTCTTCAAGGCATAGTTTTAAGATACTATTACTGTAACACTATTTTTAATGCAGACTTTTCCTCTACAAAGGCCAATGTTGCTGAAAGCGTTTTGTTGCTGAACTTTACAAACCGGTTCTACTAGAAAGGCTAGAAAGAAAGGCATGCTTATTATCTCTCAGTGATTTCTATTTCAAATGTGCTCAGTATATGAGCCAAATATCCTGGGTGTGGATGGCTCAGTGGGGGGTCCGAGTGGGGGCGGGGTATCTGGATGCACAGGGGCTTGTTGAGGGGTTCCGGGTGCAGGAAGAATGAGACTCTGTGGGGGGATCCAGGTGAAGGTGGTTGGAGCTCAGCAGGGATGGTCTGAGTGTGGGGGTATGGGCTTGGCAAGGGGGTCTTGGTGCAGCGGGGGTGACCGGGTGCTGTGGGAGTGGGGTTTGGTAGGGTGGGTGTCCGGGTGCAGCTGGTTGGGACTCAGTGGGGTGGGGGTCCAGGTGCAGGGGGCTCAGCAGGGAGTGGGGCTCAGCAGAGGAGTTGTGGGTGTGGGGTGGTCCAGATCCATGGAGGTTGGACAGCCGGGGGGCAGCTCCCCATGCAGTGATCCTGTCACTGCAGACGGGGAGCGATGGGGCAGGAAATGTGGGGGTTGCAGAGCTTCCTGGAGCTGGAGGAAGTTCCTGGGGGTGGGTCTGACCCAGCCCTGGCCGCTTTGTGCGGGGGCAGGGGAACTCCCCCCACTCCAGTTGGGATTAGCAGCTGGAGCCCGGTGCATGGTAGGAGCCACCAGCAGGGGTGTCCCCAGCCTAGGTCCTCCCTGGCTCCAGGCGCACTGTGATAATGAGTGAGAGGGACTAAGAGAGCCCAGCCTCATCCACAAGGTGGTGATTTACATCTCCCTCAGCTGCTCCTAACACCTGAACCAGACGGGACCTCCTCTGCCCCCTGCCACTGCCCGCAAGGGGTGCATTGATCAATTTTTGTGTGGGGTAAAAAGTAATATCTGTGGGGGACATTAATTCTGCATTTGTGCAGTATTCTCCCATAAATAAAAAGGTTAAGACTGAGATTTTCAATGCCAATTTTAAAGCTTTTTATACAGGGAACTTATTTAATATGACTTAATGTGGCGTGTAAACGTGGAATACGTTCTTGGACATTTAGGATGACAATTTGAAATTACCTAGAATTTGGACGCCAAATTCCCAATAAAATTAATGGGAACAAAGGAATTTGAATGGCTAATTCCCGTTTATTTTATCAGTTATTTGGCATCCAAATCCTAAGTAGTTTTCAAATTTTGAGCCTAAATGTCCAAGAATTTATGTATTTGAGTCTGCTCTGGTGGTTCCCTATTACTTCAACAAAGGTACAAACACATTTCCTCCTTTATTTATCTACTTCAACATATTTAGGAAAACTGAGAAAATTCTAATGAATAGATGGATCTTCAGCTACTGACTCAGATTCAATAAACAGGACATTAAAAATAAGAGATACAAGCCCCTTTTTGGCAATGGTCTATAATGCAACTGATACCAGTCAAGTCAGAGATAAAACAGTTGTGGCTGGTACAGCATCTTGCAAACATTCCACTTTTATAAGCCATATCAAACCAAGTTAAACAAGTTCCCTATATAAAATGCTCTAAAATTATGCAGTCAGTAGTATTAACTTGGGGACTTTATCGAACTAGTAAAACATCTAAGTACCTTATATTTACAAACTCTCCCATCATCATAGGTAACAGTTCATTACTGAACGGATGAATAAAGACCAAGTTAACCATTGATTGAGTCTAGACCAATTGGAGTATCTGTCTATCAACCAACCTAAATGGCTAGATTGTAGGAGCCTGAGACCCTCCTTCCATGTTCACTCATGTGAGTTTTAATGCCTCCCAGGGTCAGACTCTGTGTCTCAATTTGGCAGCCTCAGAAAACTGCTTTCTGTATAGTAAGCTGTGCAGATTTTCACATTTGCTGCTTCAGTGGTTCTCCATCTTACTGGGATGAATAGGCATTTAGTGAATTTACTTAGCAATGCTTCCACATGAAATAGTTCCAATGACTGACATCTTAGGGTGAGTTTCTAGGCAAACGCTGGCATGCAAGGATGATGTACAAAAGTATAACAAAGTTTAGAGGTGCTTGGACTTTAATGTGCTTGGAGGATAAAATCAAATCAAACAAATTAACAGCCCATGCTGGTCAATACTCCTCTATTGTTTCCTTAACATAAACTGCCCACCAATCTATGTTTCACTTTTCAATTGTGCTTTACAAAACGTATCTGAAACCAGGCCTGCCACACAAAGTTTTCAGCTGTTGTTGCTTTTCAGGTTACTGTCTGTAATTCCCTGTCTAATTTTTAGCTCTCACGATAATGAACAGCCTCAGATCTGTTGACATTTTCTCCGTCTCTCAAATAAGTTCGTGGCATTTTGGTTCTGTTTCCGATCAAATATTTTGTAAGAATTAACCTACACATTTTGTTGTTTTTTTAAAAATAAATATCACTCTTCTCAAGTTTTGACATCCCACTTGCATTTGGAAAATATTCTAGATATTTGACATTTAGATCTATGTGCTCAACCAATTGAAGCTTATGCTTGCCCTAGCCACTGTATAGCAAATATTACAGAACTTTTCCTTTCCTTTCCTGTGAGCCACTTCCTCTGAGTCTGAACTTGCAATGGTGAGGAGCACCAGCTCCTCATTATTCCATTCCACACCTTAAAGGGAGCTGAAAGTGCTCAGCAGCTCACAGGTTCCTATATTTGGAAAAGCATTGTGGCTAAATAGAGTAGCTAAAGTCCTATGCAGCACACAGAGGAACCTGCCTTTAGTGGTGTATTTTCAAATGCCTCTGGCCATGATCACTACAGCATTGCCTAGTGCTCTCTAGCCGTAATGCCGCTAGCACCACGCGATGCCTCTAGCATTAGCTCTTGCTAATGCCTCTGGCAATGGTTGCTAAAACTATTCAGTCTAATTCTTCTCCCAGTGAAGACAATGTGAGTTTTGCCAGAGCTATCAGTAGGAGCAGGAGCGGTCCTAGTCTGTCAAATTCATCCCTGGATCTGTGAAACTAGAGAGGGGTCAACGGTTCAGTTAGTTCTGTAACCCTGACCAGAAGCAAGAGTGCACTGCAGAACATTTCGATAAGGGGCAAAGGCAAATGTTATTTCACAAGATGTGGGGGCTAGGGTATGTGGCCATAATTCATCCAGGTATTTCAGCACACGTGTAGTTTCTACTGACTTCACTGGGACTACACACATGGTTACAGTTATACATGTGCTTAAGTATCTTGCTGATTCAGAACTCACGAACGAGATTGCCTGCTTTGGACATAATGGCAGAAAACATGGATGAAAATGATATCAGACTGCCTCACTTGGCCGAATTTGTATTAAGAAAGATTTAACACCTGGTTAGGACACATTGCACCACTCTGGCAGCACAAAGCTGGTCTAACTCCCATTTATAACTGGACCCCAGAGGCTTCCCCCTGGGTAGAAGGTATCTTCAATGGCTTAGAGCTGCTATTGCGGGGCCTGGCTACCCCCTCCACCAGCTGGTGGTGCAGGAGAAGTAACCAGAAAACAAAGGGTGAGGCCTGGCTGATGTTTGGCCACTGTAACAGTCCCTGGGAGCGATTAATAGCAGATGTAGATTAGAGTTTCACAGCCTCAGGGTCAGGGGCACAAAGGCAAGTCACCTTCCTTGGGTTTGCATCTTGCCCTCTTTGGCTGAACTGGGAATCATGACCTTAATCTGAATAATGTCTTCAACCAAGTGTCAGTGGTCTACATACCGATCCTTTTCATAGCAGTAAGGAAGCATGCAAGTCAGGGCCAACAGTATCCAGAAATTAGTAAGAGCCTCACACCTATTACCTCTAAACTAGTGGAGGGGAGGGCTGTGACAAACCAATATCATGCATTATTCAATGCCTTAGGGCACTTCTGTTCAAATGGTACCTACTTGTCTGTCACTGAAGCTATGCAGTGTTGTTGTAGCCATGTTGGTCCCAGGGTATTAGAGAGACAAGGTGGGCGAGGTAATATCTTTTATTGGACCCGACTTCTGTTGGTGAGAAAGACAAGCTTTCAAGCGACACAGTTTTGTGTAATGAAAGCTTGTCTCTCTCACCAACATAAGTTAGTCCAATAAGAGAGATTATCTCACCCATCTTGTCTCTCACCTGAACTGATATTTTCAGATTCATTTCATGAAAATTGGAAATTTTAAGCTAACTGTTGAGGTGGAATGGTTGGAATTATTAAGTATAAAGCTACTGGTCACGCCAGGGCCTTTTCAGAAGCACTAGAAGAATGATTATCCCTTGTTACCACTACCACTACTTGCCCCAGAGTTTAGTGTGTACTTTACAGAACATACAGAAGAACCTATCTCTGAGTTACAGAGCTTACAATCTAAGGGCTGGTCTACACTGGGTGGGGGGGGGGGATCGATCTAAGATACGCAACTTCAGCTACGTGAATAGCGTAGCTGAAGTCAAAGTATCTTAGATCGATTTACCTGGGGTCCACACGGCGCGGGATCGATGGTCGTGGCTCCCCCGTCGACTCCGCTACCGCAGCTCGCTCCGGTGGAGTTCCGGAGTCGACGGGGAGCGTGTTCGGGGATCGATATATCGCGTCTTAACGAGACGCGATATATCAATCCTGATAAATTGATCGCTACCCGCCGAGGAATATTACCTACCCGATACGGCGGGTAGTCTGGACGTACACTTAATAAAGCTGTGATATAACAAACAGACATAAGAAAAACAAAAGGAGTGGGAGGGTGAAAAGAGAACATGGATTACAACAATAAGAGCAAATGGCTTTTTAGATTACATTCAGGAGTACTAAATTTCTGACATCTTGGTGTAGGGTTTCATTAATGA